TAAGTATTATTCTGACACCTTTCCCAGGATTTTGACTCAGAGTTTGGCATCCTCAGTTTTCTTGTCTGAGCTGGGGGTTGGACTAGAAGACCTCCGAGGTCCCTTTCAACTCTTGTTAAACACATGTGTATTTTATGCTCTGGACTATTGACATTGAATGCATGTAAACCCTGAAAAATATGTGGTAGCCCTGGGCAAAAGAAAGGCAGAAAAATCACTCTAGGTGTAGGGACAGTGTAAAATATTAACACATGATAAATAATGGAACAATTAAAAATAATAGCACAGAGTTTTATCTCTCTCTCTCTCTTCCTATTTTCTTCTTTCTTTCTCTACCTTCCTCCCTCTTTCTTTCTTTCTTTCTTTCCTTCTTTCTCTCTCATACACACACACACACACACACACACACAGAGAGAGAGAGAGAGAGAGAGAGAGAGAGAGAACATTTAACAGACAAGCAGTTTGGAAGCAGCTCCTTTAAATTTCTCCAAGGCTCGATTCACCCCCACCCCCTCTGTCAGACCGCACTCCTTCTCACTCCTGATACTTTAACTCACATGGGGAAAGCGATACTTGCAGGGTCCATGCCTTTCTTCCTTTTCCCCGGGGAGAAAGAGGACATGGGGAATGGAAAGCTAGGAGAGCGATTGCAAGTGAGTGACCAGGCAACCAGGTTGGGGGCGTGGCCAGCCAGGGATTGCCACTGGTTCGGCGACCCATGCCAAATAACCGCTACCAGTTCGTGTGAATAGGTGCGAACTGTTCAAATAGCACCTCTGCTCCCCGCCCACTCACTCCTTACCTGCAAACTTGCCTGCTAAATTGCTATTTTTCTGACCATCAGCTGTGAGATTTAGATTAGCTAGGAAGCAGGAAATGGTTGGATTTCTTGCTTTCTAGCTAGCCTTTAGATCATTGGTTCTGCTTTTAAGCACAGCCGAACCTCCCTTAGGACTGAAGGTTCTATTATTCAGTCCAGACTCACGGCAAGCAAATTTGAGAGACTGAGCTAGCTGATGGCAGATAGATAGATCATTGAATGATTCTGTGAGCAACTCAATCTGCCTGCCTGCTTTGCCTGATTTTGGGTAAAAGTTGCTCTTTTTTAAATAAAAAATTCAATACTTACATACATGGTGTGTTGTGAGTTAATTTTGTGAGTTTGCTTGCAAGCAAATTTTATGTGACAGACTGAGCTAACCAAGGGCAGATAGATAGATTTGTGAATGATTCTGTGAGCAACTCAATCTGACTGCCTGCTTTGCCTAATTTTGGGTAAAAGTTGCTCTTTTTTAATAAAAAAAATCAATATTTATCTAAATATTTATAATATTTACATACATGCCATGCCCAGCCAGTCACATGACCACAAAGCCACACCCACAAATTAGGCCACGTCCACAGAACCGGTTAGTGGTCCCTGGGATCTAAAATTATGAGTTTGGTGGTCCCTGAGGTCCAAAAGGTTGACGACCCCTGCAATAGGTTGCTAAGCACCCAAATTTTATTCATGTGACCATGGGAATGCTGCAACAGTTTTAAGTGTGAAAAATGCTCATAAGTCACTATTTTCAGTGCCGTTGTAACTTTGAATGGTCACTAAATGAACTGTTCTAAGTCGAGGACTGTCTGTAATGTTCAGGAAGGGGTAGTTTGTCATCCAGCTATTTCACCAGTGGCTTTAGGAGCTGAAGAGTATGGAAAGGCCCAACTTCAGGACAGTGCACCTCAAAATAAACGATACATAGGCCAACACATAGGCAAAATAAGGAGTAGGGAGTGCCTTCTGATCATTTAGGGCAATTCACATAGCTTCTGATCTAGTTTATAAGAGATCTGTTCCACTAACCAGACTGCAATTATCTAAAATGATCCAAATATCTGGACTCATTATGTATTATTAATGGCAATGTGACCTTATTTAACGAGTTTAAGCTTCTTGATAATCTCCGAACAGTTTAGATATGTGGGGCTGTGTTTGCTTTATTTCCTTGTTTAGAATATGACTCTTCTAAGATGTTTGTTCTAGTCCTGAATTCATTCGTTATTAAAATGCTAGATTAAGAAATTAAACAACGGCAGTGGCTATTTAGAATGAGATGTAGAAAGGAAATAGATTTGCCCTACCAATGGACTTCACCTGTCACAATTCCTCCATGAAGTATGGGAACTTAAGTCCAATACACCAATTTGGAAAAGTAAATATTGATGGATCTGATAGCTCCAATTTTTTTCAGTTTCGTATGTTAACAATATTAGATTATTTTCATCTTCTTTCTAGGTGAAAATTTAAAAACTTGGCACAAAAATGGAATACACATTTTTATTTGTCTGTTCTATTACTCCCTCTAAATTCTACCTAACTAAATGCATCATATATGCATTTTAAAGGATTAAAGGATGTTCCATTTCAGTTTACCTGTTGGTTCAGAAACCACAAATTAAGGTATGTGGGCAAAAGAAGTATTCTTTCCATTCCTAAATTTGGATGAGAATATTTTTTTAAAGCCACTTTCCAAAATTATTACCATAATTGATATCTGGTTTAAACCAGCAGTGCAGATCCATACCATAAACAATTGTGAATGTAGGTGCTTGTGTTACTTCATTCCTCAAAGAAGAAGAAAAAAGACCACATGTTGCCTGCTCTTGCCTTAAATAGGATCATAATATTTAAAGGTTGATTTCTGCTTTGAAAAAAAAGTAGTTCTCTACAGCTATTGAACTTTCTGCCCTGGTCCATCTGAATGATTCTGTCTCTCCTTTTCAGCATAGATACATGGATGGATACAGGGGTGGGATTCAAATTTCTTAACAACCGGTTCTGTGGGCATGGCCTAATTTGTGGGTGTGGCTTGGTGGTCATGTGACTGGGGTGGGAGTGGATTGCTGATTGGGCATGGCTATGTGGTCATGTGACTGGGGTGGGCGTGGTTACGTGGTCATGTGACTGGGTGGGCATGGTTATGTGGTCATGTGACTGGGGTGGGCGTGGCCATGTGGCTGGCAAACCAAATTTAAGTGGTCCTCACTGAATGACCAGATGCT